CATTTTAAGAAAAAAGGAAAAGTGATTTGATATTATATGCTTATCATATATTTAAATATCAAAATAGTATAATTTTTTTTTATTATTTTTTTTAACTTTTATGCAAATTTTAAAAAAATTTTTTAATTATAAGAATTCGTGAAATATAATTTTAGTGCCGAAATTTATGTATCAGTTTTCTAAAATCATAGGAGTTCAATATATAATACTTAAAAATTGCAGGAATTTATAATAAAAATTCCATAAAGTATAATAAAAAAAATAAAAAACAAAAGAGAGAATACAAAAGATAAATTTTCTATTTTATGTCAATTTCAAAAATTCTATTTTAATCCAAATTTTAAAAAATTTAAAATATATTTATATTCTATAAGTAGCATATATGTCTAAAATTATGAACAAATTGAAAATTTGTTTAGATAATACAAATACATTGGTTGATTGATATCTATCATAGCTTTATTATACTAATAAATTTGAAAAATTTTATTAAATGGCATATTAATAGATATATTTTTAAAAAATTACATTTTTCAAGCATCAATTTTTCGATGTTATTTTTCAATAACATCTTTTTCAATTTAATAATTTTACATAAAATTGTCGAATTATTTTTTTTTATATATTACTTATAAACCAAAACAATCATTATTCAAAAAAACAATAATTTTTATTAATTTTTTAAAAAAATCTATCATTAGAACTTATAAACTAACTTTAATGTTAATAAAATCAAAATGTTTTTGGAATTTGTATAGAAGGATTTGCAAATCAATTCATAAAGTAAAATTTTAAGATTATAAATTCGTATAAAATATATATGTATATATATAAGTAGATTTTATGAATAAGACGATCTGAAGTCAGATATTTAATCATAGATTCAATAAAAACACATTATTATTATATATTTAATTATTTGAATAGAAATTTACAGATTTGAAAATATTTTAAAAATGATTTTTATTAAACTAATTGTAATTAATGCAATATTATTAAATATAAAATATATATATATAGAAAATGTTTTTTTTTTTTTTAATGTATCTATTCTTAAAATAATTAAAATTATTTGATCAATATATTTAATTTTATAATAAAATTAATTTTATTAAACTTTAAAAAAATTCCTGAAAATATAAATAAGATATAATTTAAATTATTTAAATATAAAAACAATATATTTTAATTTTATATTTTAATTTATATCAGTATTGAAATTATGTGTAGATAAATAAATAAAGAAATAAAATATATTATTTTTATTTAAATTATAACAATTATTTTATGATATTTAAAATATTTATTTACAATTTGTTCAATATTTATAAAAACAGAAAAAATAGAATTTAATATTTATCATAATATTTAACATTATAGTACAAATCTTACATTTCTAAACATATCAACAAAAATAAGTATATCAATTGAAAATATATATTTAAAATTTTTCTTAAAAAGAAAAATAAATCTATAAGATTAGAAAGCATATCTTTTTTTCTTATCAATAGTTAATAAATATTATAAAAAAAAATTGAAAAATGATATTAGAATAATCATTTCCAGAAGATATGTTTTTTGATATAGGATTTGTAGATTATTATTAGACATAATAATTTGTATTGTTTATAGAAATAAAAAACAATTCATTTTTAAAATAGATAAACAAATCTAGTCTTTGTTATTTGTTTTTTTTTGCAAGATATATTATTTGTAGTTTTAATGATTTTTTTCTAAAAATATATTTGTTCTGTCATATACAAAAATAATTAAGTATAAAAATAATATATAATAAGGACTAGATAATTCACATATAACAAGTAATATAAAAATAATTTTAAAATTTTAGACAAATTAGTCATCTGAAAATAATTAAAAATGTATATATAATAAAGATTTTAATTGTTATTTATCTATGTATATATAACTGATCAAACCATATTCATATTTAGAAAAATTATATTTTCTAATAAAAATATTTTTAAAAAATTATTTTTAGGCTTCATTTCAATATATATAGCTTCACTTCAATGTATATGACAAATTTATGATATTTTGAATAATATTTTAAAATAATACAAATTTGATTATAAGTATATTTTATTTTTATGGCGATGACAACCACAAGAATACAATCTTGAGGAAATAACATTTTAACTGAATTGCATATTGACACTATTTATAATACATGATGATAATAATTATTTATAACATATGTTGAATTTTTCAAATTAAAGAGGATAAAAATGTATTACAATGCATAAAAAATTCATTAGATTTTGTAAATCTAAGAAGTAAAAATCAAAACTCTTCGTCAAATATATGAAATAGAATTATCTTTTTTTTTTTTTTTTTTTTTTCAATTTTTCAACTGAAGAATGTAATACAAAATTAAATAGATACATACAGCACATTAAAGTTATTTGTTTAGAATTGAATTTTTTATTATATTAATTAACACTTAGATTTTATAGTCTAGAGCTTACAGCATTGCTTATTTGTTCCTTATCCGGATCACTTATTTTTGCATTTGGCATTATATTTCGACCTAATCTGCATGGTACATGCTTTTTTATGCATAAACCAATGAAGTCTTTGACATTCCCTGTCACAATATTGCACTGCTTTACATTTGCTACATTTTTTGTTAGCTTTATCTTCTCCACAAGTAATGCAAAGTGTAGTATTATCTAAAAAAGCTCTTTGACCATCAATTGCAGCTGATACTACTGATACTGCAGATGGTGGATCACTAGCTGCAAGAGTTGCAACCATTTGACGAAAAATTGTACTTTCTCTGTATGGAAATTCTCTTACACTTTCTCTCAGAAAAGCTTCCTGATATTCTGGTATACCATCACTTTTACTACATTTTAAAAATTTTCTTATTAAACCTTCAATAGTATCTGATTTTTTTTCTTCTCCTTCTTCATTTGTTTTGTCAATTTTTTCTGCTTTCATTGCTTCTTGTCTCTTCTGAAATTTAATCACTTCAGCCACAACACAATTTAGATAATGATATTTAAATGCCATCACTTCATTTGTTTCTGCACCTTTTGTCATTTCTTTGTGATGCATAGATTCTAAAACTTTTTGTACCTAAAAATTGTAAAAAAAAAAATACAATAATAAAATTAAAAATTATAACTGTTTATTTACATTATAGAAAAAAAACTATAATTGAATAAATCATAATTATCTATTTATCTAAAAAATATGTATTAACCTTAGTAGCATTTTCTAAGAGACCAGGATATCTTTGTAAATTCATAGCTACACGTACAGGATGTACATTTATTTGTATTATAAATTTATGAAAAGAATCTGCTAAATGTGGTGGAAGCATTGATTCAGTTTGTAAACCTTGTGGTTTAACATAATAATCAATATCAGCTTTTGGAATAAAATTATTGATAGTTGCTACACAATTATGATTTCCCACAAATGCTGCCATTTGTGCTGGAGTTCGTCCTACACTGTTTGTTGCTGTTAAACGTGCTCCATAAGACATTAAAAGATGACAAAGTTCAGCATTTCCACTAAGAGCTGCAAAATGCAAAGCTGTATATGTATGTTCATGTTGACATGCATTTACACCTGCTCCCTATAATAAAATATTTTAATTATTCATATTATATAATTCATATTATGATTGTATATTTTATATTATTGCTAATATTTAATATTTACTTATTAAATTTTTTTTTTAAATTTTTTAAATAATAAATTTCATATATTTTAGATAATAACTCTCAATATTCTTAGAATTTAATTTTTTTCAAATATACTATATAATAATTCTTTGAATAATCAATTATAAATTTCAATCTTTAATAATTTTATAATATGCATTATATATTTTTTTTGAACTTTCAAAAAATATTTTTTTGATAAAAATTATTTTATTTTCAAAATTCATTAATATACATATATAAATTAATTACATTTAAAAACAAGTATTCATTTGTTTAGAATGTAAAATGAAAAAAGATACTATATTTTAAAATACTATATTTTTAAAATTAAAAAAAAATATTTGATAAATTGTAATTGAAAAATCTTTTATTTATTATATAGATAAAAAAAAGTCAAAAATTTATATGTGAAATATATTTTCATTCGTTTTTTTATATAAGTAATATGCATTGTTTATTTATTTATTTTTTTTTTTACAAAAGTGACTTTGGATATTTAAATTATAAAATATTTTTAAATTATATCTTATTGTTTAATACAATCTTAAAAAGTTAACCTACTTGGTCCAACAGCATCTGTACTATTTCCTTGTTTCCTTTGTAACAAGCATGTTGTAATGGACTCATACCATTTTCATCCACAAAATCAATTTTGATTTTATTTGCTGTTAACAATACTTTGAGTTCAGATACTTCATTATTGCTGATTTTTGTAAAAATTTGCTTTTGTACAGCAATTAAACTCTCTGGTGAAGACGCCATTTTTCTTACTATCGATTAGCATAATGAAAATATAAGTATAAATGAGATATATAATCTATTATCTTATAGGAATTAATTATATAGGAAATCTTTTTTAAATAATTTATTATAAAATGTTAAATAATCGAAATAAAGACAAGGAGAATATAATATTTCCTTTATCTTTATAAATCTATAAATTTACACGAATGACAGTTCGTTCATTAATTTTATATATTAAATTTTTTATTACATATATAAATTTGCGAGAATACACTTAATCAAGTAAAGAAATTTAATTTTTCATCTAAAATAATTTCATCTAAAATAATTTTCATGAATTTGAATTTGTAATTATGGAAATCATTTTAAAAACTAGTTTGAATCTGTCTACAAATTGATATTGATTAAATTTTCAAAATATTCTTTTATAGCTTTTCTATTTTTTTAATAAAGATGATTATAATATTCAATGTAACTAAATAGTTATTTTTTTCCTTAAATACTTAAATATTGCAATAAAAAATATCGACAATAATAGTAAATATTTAATATCGAAATAAAAATATCGAACATACACTCTATCGACTTGATTCTACTTACCGTTAGATGTCAGAGTTATCACTTGTAAAAGAATTGTAAAAAGCAGTTATACTTCTGTACTTTTAAAAACAATTATAGTGATTAAAAATGTCCAAAATTGTAGGAGAAGTATCAACATTAATCAAACGTATGTATTTGATATTTAATTATTATAATCATTTTTTTAAAAAAATTGGTTATAATTTAGTTATAAAATATTATTATATAACACTAATATCTTCTATATGATACTAGAATTAATTTTTTCATTTCCTTAAATTTAAGTTATATTTAAGTTATATTATAATTGGCATTTCATAATGATTATAATTTAATAATAATATTATTGATTAATATTTTACATTAATAATTTTTTTCTCATTAATTTAAGTAAAATATGTTAATTATGATTTACAATTATGGTTATTACAGTTGGAGTAACAAAATCTGGACCTGCTTTAAGAAAATTTATATATTATGCAAAGGTTGAATTAGTTCCACCAAAAATATCTGATATTCCTGCTATAAGAAATGGTTTTCAAAATCTGATTATTTCTGCCAAAGAGAAACGATTTCTTCAACTTACTGTACGCGAAGCTTGGCTAAATACATTAGTTGGAATTGAAGTCCTATGTTGGTTTTTTGTTGGAGAATGTATTGGAAAACGACATCTTGCAGGATATAAAGTATAAAAATGTGTTTTTATTTACATGAATATAATCTGTATAATAGTCAAATAAATATATAAATATAAATTCAATTTTAATTATATAAATAAACATTAATATTATTTAATAAAGTATTTTTTATTCTATTATTTAATAAAAATTTGATTAAACAAAAATATTTACTTATTTATAAGAAATTAATATTAGATAATATTATATATATTGAATAATTATTTATTATGATAAAAAATAAGACTATGTTAATATATGTTGTTTTGCATATTGCCATATACATATTGCTCCACTAACATGAACATTTAATGATCGAATTACACCAGCTTGTGGTATTTCTATACAAGTATCAAACAAAGGTATCAAATTTGCAGGAATTCCATTCTTTTCATTTCTAAAAATAATAATTATTCTTATATTCTTTATATGAATCTATTTAATTTTATAATTACTTACCCTAAAACAAGAATTGTTTTTTTTTCAAATTTCATATTTAATAAATTTATACTATTAGCTGTTTGTTCCACTCCTACTAAAGACCATCCCATATCCTTTTTATCTAACAGATATTTACATAATTCATATGGTTTTATCTATAATGATTGAGTTAAGTTTATTAACTCGTTATTAAGTTTATTATAACAAGAACCATTTCTGAATCATTATTAATATAATAGTGAAATACCTCTGTAATAGTTATCCAATTTTCAGCTGATACACTAACATTTTGAAATTCTTTATCTTTAACTTGATTCAAATTAGCAATAACTAATTCTTTGACATTAAAAATTTCACAAGTACGAGCAAGTCCGCCTAAATTTGGAATACGATTAAGAAGACATGCTACAACTATAAGATTTTCTTCATTCGATATTCTTTTATGACAAATAGACTCTCTGATTGTTGGAAAAATATCATTATGTGATAAATTGATAGACATTATAGGATTAATTTTTTTTTGAATATCACTTAATTCTTCAAAGTCCATATTACATCTTTTTATAAATGGCTCTGTATCACCTATATTTTTTTTCTTTATTTTATACTTATTATTTATTATATATATATATATATGTATATATACAAAATGTACTTAGAAATTGTTATAATCATGATGATAATATATTTTAATAAAATACCTGAACGTTTTATTAAATATGACGATGTTTTAATATCAGATAATGATTTATTTAAATTATATAGTTGAAGTGCATGACCATTAAATTTTTTGAAATTCAAAATTGTAAAGAAATTTGGAATTATCCATTCACTTGCATCCATATCAGTCAATCGAGGTAATTCAAGATAAATTGTCTACAAATAAGAAAAATCTTATTATTTAAATAATATATGTTTAAATAATAAGTTATATATGTTTAATAATATATGTTTAAGTTATATATATTTAAAAATATATGTATAATATATGTTTAAATAATATGTTATATAATATATATATTTTTATGAATATTTCCATTTAATAGATTTAAATATTAATTTTATTTTTAATTAATTTACTTGTAAAGTATAGTCCAATATAGGATGAAATGTAGAAAGATAAAAATCATTCTCAATTTTGCTTGAATTTCTTATTAATCCATCTTTTAAACTTGTAATTGCAGCATTATATAATCCTTCATATTGTAATATAACATGATCAGAATTTAATTGTTCTAACATTTTATACAATTTTACAAAAATAATCTGTCATAAACAAATAATAATATATAATTTATTAATATAAATAAATATAATTAAATAATATAATTTATTTTATAATTTGATATAATATAATTTACCTGAGCATAAAGACGCATATTATATTGTTGTCCTAAACAACAACGGGCAATATAATTCAATGCTGTTAAAATAAAATTGCTTTGAGAATCTTTAGAAAGAAGTTTAGAAATATGATAGACAATACATATTATGGAACTAACACATCCTGGACGTATTGTAATACCCTACACATATTAAATTAGTTGAACTTTTGTATATAAAAAAACAAATAAATTCTATAAAAAAAAAAAAAACAGTTTGTTTAAATACCTTTTCAAAAAATTCCCAAATTTTATGATGAAATTCCACATTTTCTACAAAAATTTTTATTAATATCCACTCTTGCATTATTCTAACACTATGTTGATTACTTTCCAAAAGTAATAAATTTAAAAGAAATTCTTGTAATATTATAATGTCATCCTGTAAATAAATTTAATTTTTTTTATTTATTATTTTATAAAATATATTTTTTATTACCTTAGTTAAAATTGGCTGCATTATTAACAAAATTTGCATAATTCTGTGTTTTACTTTATGTATATATGAATAATTAAAATATCGTTTATTTTTATATTTTTCTAATTTTTGTAAAATAATTGGAAGAAATATTGATGCAAATTCTTTATCTTCATTAATTATTTTATGTAACAGAATAACAGAAGTTGCTCTGATATTATAATCTCTATTAATGAAATTAAAATATTAATTACAAATATATAAAATATATATAATATAATTAAAAATTATAAAAATACTTACATTATTTGTATGTGTTGTGGATAATAATTTTGATAATTTTTTATAATATATAAATAAACTTGATTTTCTATTTGTTTGTCTTTTCGAAGTACAGGTCCATGAAGCAGACATGCTAGTAGTGGTTCTTGCAATTTTTTTAAACAATATGTATTTAATAATCTCATTTCATTTAACAAAATTTTTTTTAATTTTGACACATTATTACTTTCTTCAAGTAATTGATTGATAAACTAAAAGTTTAAAATAATTTTAATATTTTAAAAAATATTAATTTATTAATTAATATGCTATTTTCTTACATTGTTTACAAAATTTTTAATATTGGGTAGTATTAAAAAATTATTATTTATAATAACTCCTACAAGATTTTCTATTGCCAGAAAATAAGTTTTGTTTTTTGTACTTAATAATGTAGTCTTCCAACAGTCAGTAAAAATAGATTCTAAATTTAATGTATTTTCTAAATTTTGCATTGCTCCTTTATTAACCATTGTTTTCAATATTAATGCTATTTCTGGAACAATTTCATTTCCTCCCATTTCAAATAAATAGGAAATATTTTTATTCCAATCAATTTTCTGAGGCCACATTTCTATTTCCACTTTTGATAAAAATTGATTTATAAGTTTTGCAAGTAATATATAACAATCTGATGCTATCTTTCCTTTAAATTTTATTTGACTTTCATCATTATTAAATATGCGAATGTCACAAATATCTAATAATGGTTGAACATAAAATGATGCATAATTTGCACATAAAATATTTTGTGTATAATGTAAAATATATAATGCATATAAATAATGCATATTTGTATATTGTTTTATATTTTGAATGATAAATATACTTTCCTTTTTGAATTTCTCAACATAATATAAAATTTCTTTTTCTGTTAAAAGTAAATATCCATTGTTAAGAATTAAAATAATTGTAGTAAGGTATCTGTTCATTTCTTCGTAATTGAACTTATATGGTATGCTTCTACTATTTTTAAGTAAAAATTTTAATGCATCATTAATATATAGAGATAATAATTGTTTGATATTTTTATGATTTTTTGTAATATTTAAATTAAGTAAATGTGACATAAATTCTACGATATAGAAAATATGTATAATATTTGCATAAGGTCTTACATCTATTCTCTTAAGTGATAATAGCCAATTATCAAGTATTTCTTTTATAGGACATGTTTTCTGTTCTATTATTAGATTTGCATCATAGAACATAATAATAATAATAGCAAATTTAGCAGGATTGAATTTGGGATGCAAATTTTTATATGTATATTCTTCACAAATAAATTTAATGAAATTTATTACATCTGCTTTTATCAATACTTTTTTCAGCCATCTTATTATATCATCCCATAGAAATGAATTTCTTATAAATGTTTCTTCTAAAGAAAATTCTAATAACATATTCATTACAATTTTTAAATCATTAATTTTTTTTACAGAAAGGAATATTATGTTTAAAAGTTCAATTTGAGATGCAATCTTTAATATATATGAGTGCATACTTAAATTTTTTTGAATCAAAGATTTAATTAAATTTAATTGATTATCTTCCCAATAATTTGATACTTTACTTGATACTATTCTTAAAACTTTCAACATATAAAATATTGGTATTGGAGCCCATGTTTCTTCATTCATTATCTTAAAAACTTTATTAAGAAATTCAATTTGTTCAGTTTTTACATGTATAAATAATTTTATAATATCATTTAATATTTCTGGTTCTTGTTGATAACTTTGACATTCATATAAATATGTATTATTTAAAACATGTATAAATAATTTTAAAAATTGATTGTCATACAAAAAAATAGGTGAATTACAAATATATAATATACCTTGTTTTACTATGGTATTATTTTCATGCAATAATATTCTCTCAAAAATTAATTGTAACCAAATATTGTCAAAGCAATTGTTACATACAATATGTTCTTTGTTTCCTTTTATCAATATTGGTAAATACGTTAATGCAGGTAATATTAAATGATGATGTTTTTCTTCTAAAGCTTCTAATATCAAAAAGTAATTTTGTTTAATGTCATTTATTGATATTTTTGTTTTAATTGATTGATGGCATACGAAAGGAATAATTTTATGTTTTTTTGATTTCAAGTCATTTTCATTTATAGTACTTATGAAATCAGTTATTCGTTTCATTATAAATAATGCTTGTTTACGATATTGTTGTATTGAAGATTTTAAACCTTGTAATAATAATAACCATAGTTGTTCTATATAAAATATATCATAATGCATGAAACTAATATTTTTTAAATTTACAGAAAAACATATATCTATTAAAATACTGAGTGCACTTAATAAATCTTTTAAATCATCCATTTTATTTAAAATATAATTCCATATAGGTGGCAAAATATCTTCATAACCAAAAGTATTTATTAATTTTGGTAAAATTGAAGCAAATAATTGCCATTCTTTATTTTCTTTTATTTGTAACCATAACATCATATCTTTTAGATATAGAGAATTAAAACGTTTCAATAGATTTGATTCCAAATCATTATATAAATATTTTTTTAATTGTAACGATTCTAAAAAACATTCTAATATTTTCAAATATAAAATTTTGCTTTCATTATTATTCAAACTATTAACATTCGATTTGCGAAAATTTATCATATGTTGCTCAAAACATTGTGAATTACAGTAAAGCGTTAACTGTAAAATTACAATATCATATAAAATTGGATATTCAAAAAAATTTTGTAATTTATCTTTTACAAATAAAGTATTTTCTATTGTTTTAAAACATAAATCATTTGGAATTATTCTAACATGCTTATTTGTTGTATGAAATATAAGTTGATATTCATAACATAAAATCATTCGAAATGTATATAATTTTTTTGCGTGTAAATTATTTTTTATTATTTCAGTGTTATAATATTTACTTAAACGATGTAATAATAAAAATGGATCATCTTTAAATGCAATTTCTAATAATTCTAAAATCGAGAAATCTATTGTTGAAATACGCATATAGCGTTCGTGTAAATCCATATTGTTACAATTTTTTTTTTTTTTTTAATATATTAAAAAAATTTTTTTTTAAAAAGCCAATATCTGGTTTTTTAAAACACATTTTTTTTATTTTTTTTATAGATTTTTTTTTTTTTAAAAAATTTTTTTTTTAAATTAAAAAAAAAAAATTTTTTTTTTTTAATTTAAAAAAAAAATTTTTTAAAAAAAAAAAAATCTATAAAAAAAATAAAAAAAATGTGTTTTAAAAAACCAGATATTGGCTTTTTAAAAAAAAATTTTTTTAATATATTAAAAAAATTTTTTTTTAAAAAGCCAATATCTGGTTTTTTAAAACACATTTTTTTTATTTTTTTTATAGATTTTTTTTTTTTTAAAAAATTTTTTTTTTAAATTAAAAAAAAAAAATTTTTTTTTTTTTTTTTTTTTTTTTTTTTTTTTTTTTTTAATATATATATATAAATTTATATATATAAATATACCTATATAAAAATATTAAAAATATAAATATATTTTTCGTTTATTTAAATATTCTTAATTTATAAGAATTTATTACAAATTAGTATTTTATTTAACTTGAATATTTTTGTACATAATAACATAAATGATTATACCTAACCAATAAACGCACACGTGGCTATTTAGAAATATACGTATCAAGTGTTAATTTATTTCATCATAAAAAGTTAATGGCAGTTTTTTAATAAGTGCGTTCTGAGACATATTGTGCACATCTTAAACTGAAACGAACTCGACAGTGGAGACTTCAACACTCAGCAGTTTCAGGAAATGTTGTATTTTCTGACAACAGGAAGCAACTTCCTGAAAATCATTAGCTTGGTCAAACAAGTGGTCAATAGCCGGCACATAAGTTTGATGAGAATGGCTAAAAGTAAATTTGAATATGTAAAAGAATTTGAACGTGATGATTGTTGTTTGCCAAATTGTTGGATTGTGGTTAGAATAGATGGAAGAAATTTTTCGAAATTTTGTGAAGCGCATCAATTTACCAAACCGAACGATGTAGCTGCTTTGCAATTAATGAATCGCGCGGCTATTACGGTTATGGAAGATTTCAAAGAAATCATTTTAGGATTTGGTCAAAGTGATGAATATTCTTTCGTCTTTCGAAAAGACACTGAACTTTATAAACGAAGAGGTATATATATTTTAAAAAATAGTTTAAAACATAATAAATTTAAAATAGTAAATAAATAATAGAAAACAAAATATATATATATGTGATAAATGCGTTTATTATTAAAATTATTATTTATATTATATTATATTTATGTTTTATATATATTTATAATATAAATATATTATTTAAAATATTTTTATAATATTTTAGCTTCAAAATTGATGACAAATGTGAATTCTCTTTTTGCATCATCATATGTTTATCATTGGCCTCGTTTCTTCCAAGGCAAAGAATTATATTATCCACCGTCTTTTGATGCTCGCGTT